GTCTTCAAGGTATATCTTATGGATATCCGAAGTCAATTACTATACTGTTTATCCGAGGTCAGAACCTTGTGTTAATTCCAGTTAACTTATTTTACCATAAAAAGTTCCTCAAAGGAAAACATCAATCACAAATTAAAACTCGAACACCGGACAATAATCAATTCAAAAATTTTTATATAACAATGTTATTTACATCAATAATGCAAAGAAAATCCTAAACTACTCTGCTGGAGGAGGAGGCTGCTCCTCAGTAGGAAAAGGTGGGGATCTGGGTCCATCTTCAGCAGGCTGAGGCGGCACTTCTACTTCAGGAGGGGCCAGCTGCTGCACCTCGTCAGAGGAGACTGGATGCACCTCGGGAGGCTGCACTTCAGCCATTGCTGCCTGATCCCCAAAACCAGCGCCTAACGCTCCTTCTTCTTCTTCTTCTTCTCCCTCCACGGCCACCAACTCAGCATCAAAGGTTGGAGGAAATATGGTGTGCCCCTCTGCATCATGCTCCCACCTTAGAGTAATCTGAGGACGGAAGTCCGCACAGAGACTCTCGCCATCTTCCTCCACTCCTTCCTCTTGTTCCCCAAAGGTGACCGTTGTCACATCCACCTCTGGGTACTGGGCCTTCACCTTCTTTCTGCAGTCGGTGAAGGCCAGGATGGCGGTTGGCAGCCGGTACAGCTTAAGGATGCCCTCGAAGGTGCTAGAGTTGAGGAAGTTGCCAATATGTCCCTCCATCCCATTATGCACCAACAGCTCCACGTTTTTCTTCAGCTCCACTGCCCCTTTCTTCAGGCTCTCGATATATTTGTCTTGAGCCTCGAGCTTCTCTTCGCAAATTTTCCTTTTACGTTCCTCAAGAGAGAGTTTCGTGCTCAAGACACTATTATCACTCTGGAGCTCGGTCACTGTTGGTGTCACCTCATCCAGCCTCCTCTAAATCTGCTGGTTTTTCTTCTGCAACTCCCCCTTTTCCTTCTGCAGCTCCTCCTTCTCCTTTCGCAGGGCATCGCACTGCCTCTGCAAGCTGGCACGATCTCTAACGCTCTCTGTATACTCCTGCGCTAGAGCATTTGTCCAGCTCGCACTCTACAATGCAATCAGAGGTCAGACATCAGACATAGGGGACAAAAAACTCAAACATGCAACCGGAGTAAAATCTAGTTATTTCGCATACCTCTAGGGCATGCCTCACAACGGTATACCCCGCATGGCTAAGCACCTCGTTCTTCGCTTGCATCCTATCCACGTCAAGAAGCGTAGCGTTGAGAAAGTGCTTCACCCCAGTCATGTTTGTCGCCTCAAACAAACTTTTCTGGTACGCGTGGGGTGGGGTGCGCTCCCTACCCCCACTAAGGCCTTGCACCTCGGCCTCTTCCCTCTCCCGGACCTCAGGATCGATTTCTGGAGGAGAAGGTTGAGGCACGAACTACACCACCTCATCCCCCTTGCTTTCTAGCTCTGCCACCCTCCTTTTCTTCCTCTAGAGAGGTGTCGTCTCCTCGCTTACATCCTCGCTGCCCCCTATCACAGGCTCCGGCCTTGGCTGCACCTCCATGGCCCGGGCAGAAGTGCTGGGCAGGCGCTCTCTCTCGGGCACCCCTCTGTTCGCCGCAGTTGAAGTCGTTGACTTCTTTCTTGGCTTCTTTGGGATGCGCAGCCCCCCAGCAGCATTGGTAAACTCCTCCATCTCAGCTGCAAAACAAGCACAAAAGTCAAAAGGCATAAACTAAGATCTAACTAACATAGCACAAGGTAAACATACACAGACCTTCGCTCAATGAGCTTGGCCCATAGAGCTTAGCAGCCTCTATTGCCTGCGGACTGGTGAGGTATAGGATGTCCACCACGTCTCCGTCCTCCCTCACTAGCTTCTCCACCTCCCCCACCTCATCCTCATTTAACTTATAGTTGTTTTGCTTGGTTTTCTTAGCTTTCCAAGCAGACAACTGTTCCACTTCGGCATCCCTCCTACTCCACTCGGTGTCGTCCACAAAGAAGAATTTTTCTTTCCACCCTTTGATGGATGACGGTCCAGCAGAGAATAAAGTCCTATTCCCTTTGTTGGACGACCGAGGGCCGAAGTAGAACCATCCCTTCTCCCCCCTACCCCCAGCCTTAATTATAAAAAAATGTTTAAACATATTTACTGTCGGGACCCCAACCCCCCGAACTCTGCAGTATACAAGAAAACCTATTACTGCCCTCATGGCATTGGGAGTTAGCTGGGTTATTCCTATACTATAATCTAATAAAAGCCCAACCAGTAACTCTGGAATGGGAAACCTAAGCCCTGCAATCAAATAATACAGGTATATGGGCATCCAATGGTCTCGGGGTGCTGAGCATGCCCTCTCATTCACCTCGGCTGGCCGGATTAGGACATGGTGGGGAAGGTTATAGTTTCCCACTAACCCCCTAAGGCTACTCCTACTACCTAATTCGCTCACATACCCCCTCACCTCAGACACTATCTCTAAGTCCGGGTCATAGCACCCATCTACGCCACCCCCAGATTCTAACACGTTTGAAGGGATCTCCTCTTCCTCCTCCTCTACTACTACTTCTTCCCTCCTCTCCTCCACCGTCCTCTCCGAACTCGTTGGAGACGGACTGCTCTCCATATCCATACTACCATACTCCAAAGGCATCACTTCACTCCCCACCAGACTCCTGGCCTCTTCTGAAGACATCTCAATTTCTGCATACAAGGGGAGGAGGAACGATGTCAGGACCCTAAACAATTCCAACACACTCAACACATTCTCACTCCCCACCCTAATTTCCTCCAAAAAACACAAAATCAACCACAGAAAGATAGGAAGGAGAATAGCATACCAGCAAAATTGAACTCAAGAATTCAAAATTGAAGTTAAACATTTGTACATTTTACCTGATTTTGATCTTACGAAACTGTTGTTGAAGTCTTAATCGAAGCACAAACCGCACGAAACCGCAGAAATTTAGTAGAAATTTCACAAGGATATACTAGCAAAATAACGAGAGTAAAAAAGTCTCCTTTTACAGAAGTATAGCCTTTTATACCAAAGGCAAAATACGCCCCAACGGCTGTGATTAATTCAATCTAACGGCTGTAGAGACACCGTTTCGAATTCGACGGTTAACTATTAAACGACACCGTTTCGAATTCGACGGTTCGCTTTTCAAATCTACCCGTTGGACTGTTGCAGTTATCTTTTTTACAGCGGCATTTATTACGCACGTCATTCAGAGGACAGTTGTCGCGTCACGTGCCGCGTCTTAGTCAGACCTCTTAGACGGGCCTATTTAAGCCCATTTCAACACTCCTTTCCACTTTTGTACATTTTAAATTTTGACAAGTATTTTACTTCGGCTACGGCCACAGTGACCCAGTGTCACTCATTTTACTTCGGCTTCGGCCACAGTGACCCAGTTTCACTCATTTTACTTCAGCTCCGGCCACAGTGACCCAGTGTCACTCATTTTACTTCGGCTCCGGCCACAGTGACCCAGTGTCACTCATTTTACTTCGGCTCCGGCCACATGACCCAGTGTCACTCATTTTACTTCGGCTACGACCACAGTGACTCACTGTCCCATGTTTTACTTCGGCTACGGCCACAGTAACCCAGTGTCACTCATCTTACTTCGACTATGGTCATTTATTCAGAAGAAGTCATGGATTTTTATCTCCGTAGCTCATCTTAATTTCTCTTTCTCTTTATGCACTGCCCCTATTACTTCCACCAACATCATTCACAAGTGAATGACTTCCGGGGGGGAATAGTGTAAGGGTAAGTCCAGAGCTTCCCGCTAGAATAGCTACACGGCAGTTACGATGGACATCCTTGTATCTAGATATATCTCAATCTCCCGGTCTCGAAATAACTGCTTGGAGATACATATCACATCCCGGATATTTTGCTTAGCTCAATCTCCCGGTCCTGAAATAACTGCCTGGAGATACACATCGGATCCCGGATATCTTGCTTGGCATCTTGATTGGCATGCCGCGTGGATTCTGCATCGGAACATATAAATACCTCTTAAGGGCCACGCCAAAAGGTAATTGGAACTAACCCTAAGCTCCTTGTGTCTACGCTTTAAAGGTAGCCTCGATTATTGCTGACTTAAGCATCAGAGTGTCTACCCCGAGGATCCACCTCGGGGCTTTGCAGGTTATCTAGGGTGCAGATACGGACTGAAGAAGGACTTCCGGTTTGGTGCAGTTACAGGTAGTAGGATCATCATTGACTTTGCCAAGAAGAGCTTCCTGTTCTACTGCTTTTACCAAAAAATTTTTATTTATTAATTTTTTAAAAAATATATATCATAGAAAATGTCGGTGCAATTGCTGCAAACATAGCCGGCAACAAAGATGAAGAAAGTGTGGCCAAGAAAATTGATGAAAAAAAATCAAGGCACTAGCCCAAAAGTTAAATCCAGCCGAATACACTTAATTAATCTAATAAAGCCCAAGCTGTTTTATAAAACGGGGTCCATTTCTAGAACCATCTCAATCAGTTCCATTCCGTTCTTTTTTACTTTTTTCCTCCTCCTTCCCCTAGCCTGTTCTTTTTCCTCTATCTCTCTGAAAGTGTAGGGAAAAGTGCTCCAAAGGTGCAAGGTTTGATCGGTTAAAGTAACTTAAATATATATATTTTTTGTTTCTGTTTTTCATAATAAACTAGATAGTACACGAGAACCTTAAAATAAAGAAAAATAGGAAGAAAAATGAAAAATGAAAAAATAAATATATAATGGTATAACTAAGTTTATAAATATAAATGTATATCCTAAATACTTAAAATTAGTAATACAAATAAGTTCAGACAACTAATTTATAGGGCATATTTTATTAGTTCAACAATGACATACTTTTTATAATTTTTAAAATATGATACATTAAATTTGATATTCTAAAATGATTCATGTACATTTTCACTTTTAATGCTCTTATCAAGTTTTCTTATGAGCCACTACACATATATATTCCTTTTTATTGCCTAAGTGCGTGAGTAGATATAATTATGGAAAAAAGATTTCAAGAGAAAAAAAAAATTAGAAGTAACAACTTAAATTGAAATCAAAATCCTTAAGTTCTTTCTTAAAGAAACAAAGTTTGAAATGTAAAAAATAACAATAAAGATACAAAAAAGAGAGTAAAAGGTAAATATATTCAATTTCAACACATATTTTAACATATTGACATATAATAATTAGTAAGAATAATAGCCAAAACCACTCAATTTTTTCCTTGCCACCATCCTTGTATTGCCTATATATTTTCGAAGATACCAAACATTGTCCTGCCCTTCATTTATGTAACTTGCGCAAAAATCTCATCAACAATGCCTCTGACATCAAACAGAGTAGAAAATTTTCAATAGCCTCTATAGAAAGATATTGCCCATCAATTTTTACAAAACAATGAAATTGAATGAGTTTGAAATCATGCATTAATTTTAAAAGCAATAATTTAAATGTTCAATAATGAAAACATAGTAGACATAGAAATGATGCATATTAGTTAAATATAATGATAAAACAATAGATAAAGAATGTGCCTACTATTGCTTCTGTTAAAAAAGATCATGTCAAAATTCCAATAGTAGCATCTAAAGATTCTGCATCATTTGTGGTTGCATCCATGAGCTCAGCTTCTGTTGCTTCTTCAAGTTTATCACTCTTCTTAGCTACAAAAAGTATACAAATTTTGGGGCGTTGTTATCATGGTGAAAATTAGAGAATGAAATGAATGTTTGAATTTAAACTACCAATA